AGAAAGCTCACCTATATTGGTTCTGAAGTATCAGATCATACAGTGGACCCTCCATATCTGTGGGTTCCACATCTGTGGATTCAACCAACCGCCAATGAAAAATATTCAGGAAAAAATTCCCCAAAGTTCCAAAAAAGCAAACAAATTTATCATGAGCCAGCAACTATTTACATAGCATTTACATTGTATTAGATATTATTAAATATCTAGAGATGATATAAGATATACAGGAGGATGTGCATAGGTTATATGCAAATAGTACACCATTTTTTATAAGGGACTGGAGCATGGAGGGGGCGGGAGGGGGCGGGAGGGTCCTGGAACCAATCCCCTGTGAACACAGAGAGACAACTGTATTTCCAGGACAAACCAAGAGCAGCTGTTTAGAAATAAAGCAATTTGTCCTTGCGGCAGAGATACTCTTTTATGTGCTAAGTGCTCTTAGTAGCCTTTTGATATCATAGCATGCTAGAGCCAGAAGTGCCCTTCAAGATCTTCTAGTCTGACCCCTTCAACTAATAGAGGAGAAAGCTAAAAGTGTTCTTTTTTCAAAAAAAAAAAAAGGTGGGGGGGGGGCGAGAAAATCTTTCAGAAGATTCTAGTTGATGTCAAGACACTACATATCAACCTGCTCAGACACTTCTGCAGAAAGGGACAACTCAACATGCCTTCATCTTTGACTCATAAGAAAGGTGTAAATTCCAACCATGTCGTTGGCTTTCCTGCTGGACTGTGGCTGATTTTGAAGTTAACAGACTTAAAGAAGCCCATTGTGAAGTGTTTGTTTGGAAGGTTAGAATCTAAACTTACACTCCCTTGTCATGGTTATTTTTTTTTTTTTAAGAAGATGACAGATTGGAGCTGCAGGAGGAGAGAGAATCCACCCATACTAGGAATAAGAGGATGCTCTTTCTGGTTTGTTATTGTTACTGTTGTTTTCCATGTGCTTCTGGGGATATCAGGTCGAGTCTGGGAATGTGGTGGATAATATGACAACAATTTCCTTCCTGGGATGTCCCTGAATGGCCAGCACAGTCAACATGTACTCAGACAATCTACAGCTGCACTGTTGCTGCTGACAACTTCATTATGCCTGTGATATTCAGCTGGGTAATTCATTTCCCAAGCATGGATATATCTCCTGATATGCCTAATGAGTTGAATGTAATTTTGTAAGCTTTTGAAGATGAATGTCTACCCTCGTGCTTAGCTTTGTCCTAATATGGGAAACAATGACAGCCACCATTAGGAAACAGCATTGTAGCATTCTACTTTTTAGTGCAGGTTGGGTCTCCAAACCACAAAGGCAGGAAACATTAGTGACTGGAATGATACACTAGATGTGGGTCATTTAATATCCTTTGTAATGGCTTTTTTGCCTGCCTCTGCATTTAACCTTCCTATGGCCAGGGCATTCTACAAAATACAGTGGCCTTGCCAAGGATATAAAATTAGCTAATTAACGGTTCCAGGGATGTGGTGGGCTTTGGCAGTCACTTACCAATGCTGTCCTGAAATGGAAGAACTAGATGAGAAATAAGAAATGTGACTGATGTGTAGTATCCAACACCCAAGTTGCAATTTTTCTTTAAACTAGGAACAAAGTATAAAATGCATTCCTCTGAGTTCTCTTTAATTCAGTTGAATTAAACATATATGCATTGAATAACATCAATGATCATCAATGATGATGCACAGGGGCCCCATCCTTCAGCTGAGAGGCACATCCAATGGTCCTGCCTTCCTAGAGATCTCAATCCAGTAAGGAAAGGAGAGCCCCAAGTAACTCTAACAATGTTAGTCTGTGCTGAGAGCACTAAAGCAGTTACAAATACCACAGTGAAACAAGAGAAAGACACTCCATTTGGGGAACAAAAAAGAGAAAGTTAACATGCAGTCTCCAAAGCCTTCTCCCTTCCAATCTGAATTCTTTTGGGAGACGCTGCTCTCCTGAGAATCTTACTTAAGTCAACTTCTTAGCTCTGAGAGTTAGGACTCTTCCTCTTATCTGATTTCTAAGTGCTTTTCAGTTGTCATTGATGATGATCAGTTCCAAGTATCCCAAACGAAAATGGAGAAGTCAACATAAATATAGGTCTAGGCATCTTTCAGCTTGCCCTTTTTTCTACCACCACACCTGTTTTCTTGACTTTATAAAAGTAAATCCTACTAGGCAGACTCTTATTGGCAGCTAGAAGATAGAGATAGATTCTGTGCTAATACTTTTAACTACATAATTTTTTACATTAAGATTTTCTTTCAAAAAAAAATAAAAATAAAAAAGGAGGAGGAGGAGAAAGAGAAGACATAGGAGTAGGAAGAAGTGGAGGAAGAATACACCTAAAATTCAGAAGTCATTTATCCTTCAGTATTCTGGCTCATCAGCTTGACTACTTTGACTTGCATATTGAACCCTTATAAAAGTCCTTATGGACTCCAGTGTCCATGCTTCCTGGTGAAGATTCATATGATTTGATGGGTAGGTGTATATGTACGTAAGGTTTTGAAACCATGTAGTCTGCCAGTTGCTTTATTGTCCCGATCTAAGCAAACTCTTTCTCTGAATGATAAATACATGAACTATCAAATTCTAGGGCATTAACAATTTCATTTTTAAATTATTTTAGGATTCTACACAACATTCTTAAAGTAAGTAAAGACATAAAAGTCCCTTTGATTTTGAGTTGCAAACAAAAGACCTCCCCAGAGAAATAGCCAAAATGAATGTTGTGAATGGAGTGGAGTCCCAGGGTCTCTGGGAGGGTTCACTGACCTCCCCTAGAGCCTCAGTACAGTCCAAATTTCACTATACAGAGGCATGATCACGATCCATTTAGCAACCCATTTACTGTAAATGCTCTTCTTTATGATAGAATGTAGATGGCCTTGGGGGTGGTTGCGAGGAGAAGTAACCTGTGCTAATTCCTCTTGGAGAGATTTAGGTGAATGCTGCCACCTATTGATAGGTGAAATATATGCCACAAATTCCTACTCTGACATGGTATTGTGCTAATTAATGTTTATCAGAGTAAATCTCATTACTCAGTTGGCCAAAACATTTTAACAGCCCTAAGTTCATAATCCTTCATGTATTTGTCATTAATAAATAAGTATGTTATACTAGTTTAAAACAACCCACAGACTGTATTTCTGGGAAGAGGCAAAGGAGTAAGGTACAAATGCCATGAGTTTTGCAACCAGAGATCTGGGTTTGAGTCCCAGCTCAGCCCCTTAGTGCACATAAACACGTTAACTAATCTCTCTGAACCTTAGTTTCCTCATCAGTAAAAAGTGGATAATCCTCTTTGTGTGAGGATTCAGTGGTACTGCTGCATGACACACAGGAGGTATTTGATAAATGGCAGCATTTATTATTATTTTTTCACTGAGTTATTAAAAGTAACTATTTCTCATGCAATGATTGGTAATATGACAAACCACATCATGTTTCAGACTCTGGTGAACTCTTCTGCGTGGTTCAGTTATCCTTCGGCAATGCTACTTGTCTAGCATAGTATCTTTGACATTCAAAATTAGGACAGTGTGAACATAAATATTAGAACTTTAAGTGTGCCAATTGAGAAAATGAGGATAAATGAGCTTCATTACCAAACGTCTCTGGACTGCCCTAGAGGATATATGGGGCTGAGCAGATAAAGAATTATGATAAAACTTTAGAGCTGCGTATAAATGGGGCTTTGTGACCTGCTGGATAAGGTTGAGACTTAGAGCCAGACCTAGGAGGTTCACATTCCTTCCTCTGCATGGTGTGGGGATCCCGGGCTCACACAGACAATAGGGGATTCATAGCTTGAGAATTCTAATGATGACTGAAAGGAGGGTGGCAGCCAGAACAAGAAGACTTTTCAGAAGCAGGACCCTGATTATCACATCGGTGCTACAGCCCAGCGAGAGGCTGCTGAGAGGCCGAATGAAGCCGTTCTTGGAAAGCTTTCAGTGAAGTGTTTGTAACCTCCTTAAGAGAATCCCATTTCTCAAAAATGCAACTCTGGAAAATCTCACATGATTAGTTCAGATAAACACCCTGTCATCAAATCATACTAGAAGTCATACGGACCATCTCTTTTTGAAGAGTCTTTTTGAATGTCATGAGTCTAAGTTTCCAAGACTTAGAGAAAAAAATCCAAAAGAGGGTTTCTCAGGATATTTGAGGACCTTTACTTTTAGTCTGAAAGGTCAACTGGCTCTTAAAACAAAATAATCAAGAAATACCATGCCTATGAACAGTCTGCACCTTTTGAAAAGGTCTGCTTGGGACTGAATAGCCAATGCCCTCCCCCACCCCTTTTTCTTTTTTCTTTGGGGCTTAGAAATTGAGAGGGAGGAGGAGGAAGAGTTTCACATTCATTACTAACAACTTCACACATAATAAGCATGTTCAGATACACCCTGGGGTGTTAGTTTTCTTTTCCTATTTTTTTGTCTCCTTTTTGGCAGCTTTTCCTATTTTTTTGTCTCCTTTTTAGCAGCTTTCGATAAGTAGCACATTTTAATTTTGAAAAAAGAATCAGAGCCGTTACTGAGCAGCCTCGCCCTAAGGAAGGTCAGGAGATTAGGGAGCGGAAGTAGGCTGGCCAAACTCTTTACCGACCACAGTGAGGGACTGCCGCTTTCTTCCCATAACTTAATTTTGGGACTCTGGTGGAAAGGCACCCCCTTAAAAAAATCTTTGCTGAAAAAAAGAGTGAAAAATTGTTAGAAAATGGTCATCGGAAAGTGATCAATTTAAATGTGTCTTACAAACAAACCACAGGGAACTAACCGCAGGGCAGACGTGCATTTGCAATGGACATTCTCAAAATATGGGCACGCTCTTGCAGGAGACAGTGGACATTAGTAGCTTCTGATGCTGGTGGATTTTGGCCTAATTTCACAAGTGTTCTGAAATTCTAAACGTTGCACTTCACAAATCAGAGAACAGTACAGTACTAAAAGGAATCTTTGAATTTAACTGGCCCAACTCCCAGTTTTCAAGTGGGAAAACTGAGACCTCATGATAGAAACTAACTCGCCCAAGGTCACACAGCTGGTTAGGAGAGCTCAAGGGCTCAAGCTCAAAGTCCCCATCCCAAACCAGGGTTCTTTCCACTGAGCTAAACAGCTCCAAGATGGGAAACTGCAAACCCTCACATTTAATCGGGATATCTTTCAAGGGAAATTCTACACCCTTCCCCTTGCAAATGGCCCTATGTGTTGCCAGAGGTAGTGCATCTGCCACAGCCTCTACTGACTTCTTTAGCTGCTGCTGAATGGCTTCTTCAAAGCAGTCTAGGCACATTCACCTGGCTCCAAGGACTCGGTCTCCTCCTCTCTTCTCTGTCTTCACAAGGTGCTCACAGCACTACATGAATGCCTAAATTATCTCTGTTTGTGCACGGGGATCGATATCACCGTCATTTGCCATCATGCAAGTTAAAACTCAGCTTCTTTCTCCATTTCACTTCCCCCACCTGACCTGCTGACAAATCCTTTAAGTTCTACCTCCAAAGAGTGTCCCACGTTCATTTCCTAATCTACACACTCACAGACCCTCACCATCAATGTCCTCCTACTTCCAGGTTCTTACCACTTCAGTTCATGGTCCATGATGGCTAGACTTAGAGGGATCTTTAATCAGCTGCACTGACATTCTCCTGCTCAAATCTCTGTCACCTATACAATCAAGCCCAAACTCTTCAATGCAGTGTTTGAGTGCTCTCCATTCTAGCCCCTGTCTACTTTTGGAACCTAAATTCCATTAGGTCCTCCCATCACCATTTACTCCAGCCCAACAGGACTACTTGTCAATCGCCAAATATTCTAGGAATTCTGTGCATTGTCTCCATTCCCTTCTCTTCTTTTCAGCCTCCAGAGGTCTTCATTCCTCCAGATCCAGTTTAAATGCAACCTTCTCTGTAAATCTTTCCTAAGCATCTCGGAAGGAAGTGATCATTCTTTTGTGCTCCCTTAGCACATTGCTCATACTTTTTTATGACACACTTACTTCTGCCCTAATAAGTTTCACCTCTCTCACTAAATAGATCTCTTTTATCTTTCAAAAGATGTCTCATTCAACGTTGTACCCCTCCTCACCGTATTGTTTCATCCAATGCTTTGCATATAATACGTGCTTTTCTTTCTTAATATTTATTGGGCGTTTACTATCTGCAAGACACTAGGCCAGGCGGTGTAAAGGCTGGAGGAAGAAAATTTGAAAGAGAAGTAAAATGCAATCCCTGTCTTCAAAGGAACTTTAATCAGTGAGACATGTTCACGAATAACCTAAGCAAGTGAACTAACCGTGGGGGTGGAGCTGGGTGGAGGGGAAGTGCTGAGCATGGAACAAACATTCTCAATGTTCCAAATGAGAACACTGATATTATGATGTGGAGGGTGGGGTGATGGGGGAGGGGCAGAGGGAAAGAAAGGGCAAGGCTGCTTTTAAACGCCATCTCTGAGCTGTGGTCATTATTCGAGTCCTGTCTAGGTCTGGCTGATCCAACCCATCCTTCCCCCAATACCAGAGTAATCTTCCTAAAGCAAGACTCTGATCATTTAATTCCCTGTTCAGTTGTTTGTTGTTCAATGAATCAGCATCAAATAATTGCAGGCTTATGTTAAGTGTTATGGAGAACACCAGTTTGTAGGAATGAGACAAACTCCAGGAAACAGCTGGAAAACAAAAAGCAAGAACATGCTGTGAAAGTGCTGGGGGGTATGGGGCAAAGTAAATGTGTGATCAGTATGGGCTGAGATTAATCGAGAAGGAATAATCAGAGGAGACAAGCATTCAGTGATGGCCACTTGGCAAGAAAAATTAGATGTACTAAGTGAACTTTAGGGTTCCTTTCAATTCTCAGACCCCTGTTATTCTTTGAGATGGTTTATTCATCATTCAATAAATTCATGCTAAGCCCTTCAACAAAACACTCACTAAATATTTTTTGAGCACCTTCTATGTGCCAGGAACTGTGCTAGACACTGGAGATAGAGCAGTGAATAAAAGACTTTGCACTTAAACTCTTACAGTAAAATGGGGATGATTGATGTTAAACAAGTAGATGCAAGAAAATGTGATGGATATAATGATGGGAGGGTATAAGGTCCTAGAGGACCACAGAGTGGAGACCCTAATAGCCCAGGGACTAGAAAAATATCCCTGAGAGATGATGTTTGAGTCAAGACTCTAAGACCATACATGTGTTAGCCAGACAAAAGGGACTGAGCATTCAGACAGAAGAAAATCATATGCAGAATTCTGGAGTTAAGAGACAGTATGGTATGTCCAAGGAACTGAAAGATATTCAAAAAGGCTACAGCATGGAAGGCAAGTAGGAAGGTGGTAAGAAATTAGGCTAGAGGGATAGGCAGAGCCAGATTATGGAGAATTCTACTAAAGTATGTTTGGGAGTTTATACTTATTGGCAGGCTTTTCATGACATTAAAGTATTTGGCACAGTGTATCTAGCCTACTAAGTAATAATAAATGTCTGTTGAGGGGTGGATTAATAAATGAACGGATGAATGAATGGATCTCCTTTGCAATAGACACGGGCTCATGAAATGACTCAGTCTTGAGCATTTGCTCCAGAAAGCAATGCCACTATTACAGGCGGCATCATCCCCTTAGGTTTGCATAGCAGATTAAACTAATGACCCCTGTGAGGCAGCCCCTAACCTTAGCAGAATTACTCAGAGTCACCTGGCTTACCCCAGCAGATGGAATTTAAGTCAATCTGCATTAAAGTCAAAGCTTTCCTAGAGATAAGGGTAAAGTTTTACCTGGCAATCATTTAGGCTTAAACTGTGAAAGGGTAGCCTGACTCTTTCTTAATCCTTGATGAAAAAATAGCCTTCTCAACCTCAAGGGCATGCATATTCCCAAATTAGATTATTTCTAGCAATGCTTCCATGGACGAATAAATTCAATGAGAGAAAGAGAGAAAAAATGTTCCAGAGAGAGAATTTCCCTTTTGAATGAGAAAAGAAAAAGTAAAACAATTGTGGAAAACTTAATGGAACTCCTCCTTTGGGCACCCAGGTTTTATGTCACTGAACCTTACCTCGGATCCCAGCTCTAGAACAGCCACTTGTTAGGGATGGGTAAGATGCTGTCTCTAGAAAGGGGGAGATTTTCAGGAATACAAGATACCATTCCCGGGATCCTAATGAATTACCAGGCCAAATATTAACACTCCACCCTCTGGTTTATAACCAAGAGATTTTCTCCTGATTTGCTACAGGGTCACATTCAACATAGGGGAGTTGATTCAGCTCCAGGTGTAAATCACAGACCAGCATCAGTGCCTAGTAAAAGGGTCCAAAATTATTTCTGAAGGCATCACAGAAGCTAAGCTTTCATTTGGCAGAAAGAGAATCTGAATAGAGCTTTAGAAAAGATTCTCAATGCTGTTGCTAGGGACGTGTGTGTATCTATGTGTGTATGTGTGTGCGTGCATGTGTGGTATTCCTATATGCTCTCAATCAGCAATGCCTCCCTAAATTTAATAAGCAGCTGTGAAGGTCATTTGCCATTTTATTTCAGAGAGAAACATGAAAAGTGCCTACATAAGTGGCTTTCTAGGAAATCCATTCTGTGTGTCTTATTAGTCATATAAAGCATAACGATGTGAAAGGAGCCAGGTGCATCCAGATGAGGCTGGAATGGAAGCACTGGAATCTTTTTTCCTAAGACTGAGCCTTTCGGTGTCCTAAGTCCCAAGTCTGCTGACTACTTTCTCAGAACCTGCTCAGGCAAAAACTTGGCTGAGCAGCCCCAACTGGATTGGGAGCTTTCTAAAGATGCCCCTAGTTCCTGCTGGGAGCTTGTAAAGGATTGCACACGTGCCACAAGGTGAGAGGATGTGGCTGCCACCTGTGTGCTTCTGGTCCCAAGCAGCTGTGGGAGTAAGGGAGTGCCTGGCCCCAGGAGAGCTGTGGACCATTTGCAGTTACAGGTTGCTGGATGGGCTCCTGGACGCCAGACGATATTTCTTCCCCGGCAGTTAACATAGTGCAAAGCTAACTGGCTGCCTCATTGCCCCTTTGCTCATCCTTGAGTAACAATCCATTTCGATTCAGTCGTGTTTGCCATGTAGCTTGTTGTCCAGGCCAGCCTTTCCTGATGGGCCTCACAGTTACAATAGGCTAAAGACACAAGGAATTCATGGCATCATTTTACTAGATGCACAAGGGCTTGAGAAATCAAGCCTTCCCAGGGCTGCAGTCCTGAGAGCACACCTAGATTCTGAGCCAGGCTGTTTCCTTCCCCTATTGTCTCCCCGTGCATCATTTGCTCTTGTTTTGCATTAAGAGTAGCTTAGTGATCATGGACTTCAGCTCTTGCCTGCAGTGATCCTCCTCGCATCTTATTCTTTACACAGAATAGGAAGGAGGTTTGCTTGCTTTGCGCAGAGACTGAGCCACAGGAGAAAGCAAAGCCAACGTGATTTATTGAATGAAAGCACTGGACAATTACCAACAACTTGTTCCTCTGCTGCCTCGGACAACCTAAACTGGTAAGTCCAATTTATTGTTGTCTTTCTTCGTGTGAATGTGGGGCTTTCTTAGTTACCGATTATTTTTTAAATGTGTATGTGTTGCTGTGGTTTAAATGATTTTAAAAATCTGCATCTTCCAAAGTTAGCTGCAGGCAGTCCATGAAGAATGCACACAAGACATACTGAGTGGTTCTGCGATGGCACATACACGTTTATGTGGATAGGTAAGGATGGGGGTAGAGAAGCCCCATTTCTGGTAATTGGTCATTTTGTTTGCAGCAAGCTTAAGGACATTTTGTGCTTGCATAACTGATTAGCATTAGCTATGAAAAATACATTATGCTTTTGTTGTGTAAGATCATTTTCCACTCGAGTGCCTACCAAATACTTGTTGGATCAGGTAAAGATGGATCCCATCATGCTGATAATCCTGAATACAAATCCAGGCATATTGCGGTCTTTAATCCAGTCTACAGGGTGGACACCCACAAAGGAATGCCAGCATTCCGTCCATGCTGGGTGGGCATGCTCATAAATAACATCATGATAGTGATGTTAAGCATACCTGCCAAGGGGACACAACAGACATGCATGCAAACCCTTGCTTGATCCACTGCCACTTTTACCCCCATGTTTCTTAAGTCCTTTACTCCATGAAGATATATGGTTGGGAGGATGCCCTAGGTTTGAAAGTGGGATATTTTGAGTTCCCTGTTACCCATGCTGGTTGTTGGCCCAGCCAAGGCTGCTGGAAATACCATTGATAATCAAGGCTAAGTTTGCTTCTATGCTGGGCCCCCCAAGTCCCTGTACTCTCATTTAATGTTCTCATTTCCTAAATAAGATGTAAGCCAGTTTCTGCAGAGGGGGAAAGTGAATGGAGAAAGCTGTTGCTTTTCCTACCACCACCACCATGTCTCCTTAGTCTTTTGTTTGCCTGGCTACTGCAAGACTTTATGGCAGCATCAATCCATCTCTGGTGGGCTCAGAGTCCACATAAATGTTATATAGAATTTAATGTCTTTGGTGCACTCTATCTGCAGTATATCATTGGCTATCCAGATGAAGTTGTGGCCTTGGGTGCTGACAAGGATGGATGATGTTGGAACAGTGAGCAGCATGCTTCTTTAAATAAAAACCAAAGTTAAGAAATCTGAGAGATGGGTGGCGTTTTGCCTAGTAGAAAGTATCCCCAGGCCACTTAATCACAAGAGCAGGATCATTCTCCCACATGATTTGGCTGTTTCACAAATGATGGCCTCCTAACAGAAAGGAGACAGCATTGCTTAGTGGTTAGAGATATCAGGAAAGCAAGTCCCTTTTGCTGGTTCTGAGACTAAGTGTGTGTCTTTGAGAAATTCACTTACTCTCCCTGAATCTCCATTCCTCCACTCCTTCCATTCCTGATCGTTTTAAAGAAGATATGCTAAGCTCGATTAATGTATCCATGAGATACTACTTAAATCTTTCTTGTTAAAGGATGTAATAGGTAATTAAGATCATTGTTCATAGACTTTAATCCAGAGATCATGCATCAGAAACCCACAAATGAGATTTTATGTGGGGATGAGGAGATGCCTGCCCCTTCCCCCATCTAATGGATATGGAGTAGTCTGAAGGAACCATGATTACCCTTAGAGAATTAGAAGGGGAGAATAGAGATGAAAAATGTCACTTTTTTAAAAACTTAAAATTCTGGGCTTCCCTGGTGGCGCAGTGGTTGAGAGTCCGCCTGCCGATGCAGGGGACACGGGTTCATGCCCCGGCCCAGGAGGATCCCACATGCCGCGGAGCGGCTGGGCCCGTGAGCCATGGCCGCTGAGCCTGCGCATCCGGAGCCTGTGCTCCGCAATGGGAGAGGCCACAGCGGTGAAAAACTTAAAATTCAAATAAATAGGTCATGCAAATAATTTTTTTCATTACTGGTCAATAATAACTGATTTTCTATACCTAGGATGACAAGATACTGAAGGTCTTAAATGTTTGAAATAAACAAACGTGGAAATATTTGGGCGGAGTTAACTCAGGGATGAGAGAAACCTATGCATTGAATTTATGACAACTTTCAGATGTTCAAATTACCCCCATACCCATGTACATGGAATTAGCAGCTGTAAATGTACTGTGATTTCGTTCCAGAAGGCTCATTTACGAAAAAAATCACACACAGAAAAGTTCCATCTCTAGGATTGAGGTACCCGAAATTCTTTTATCAGGAATTCAGTTAAGTATTGCTGTCTTTTATTAAATACAGATATTTCTTAGGAGGAGTAATAAATTAAGCCACCAATACTTTATCATAAATGAATGTATTAAATGTTTTCTACCTCAGGGGAAACCCAAAGAATGCTGCATTAATATTATATTAATTATCCTGCTTTCTTTTGATTTCATACATGTCTCCAAGAACTTCCCTCATAATTATTATTTCACTCTTGATCAGAAAACTAAGTAGTCTTTAGGACAAGCCAAGTCCTTTTTGTGTGGAACGCTTGGCTTAGACAATATCATCTAGATTTCTTCTAGGCCCTTGAGAGTCGCACTGTGGAAAGCTGAACTTACCATCTTTCTCCTTTAAATCCAGTCTTCTTCCTGTGTTCTTTTGTTTTGTTTTGTTTTTTAAATTATTGGTGGAACCATTATTTGGCTAGTTAGCCAAGCAAAGCTCATAGAAGTTACCTTCATATTTCCTGATTCCTTTAGCCCTTCCACCCAATCACTAACAAAGCTTGGTCCATTTTACTTTCTTCGTCTTTTTAATCTGTCCAGCCCTCTCCATCCCTAATGTCACATACTGTAGTTGAAGTCACCAGCTCTCACAGGGACTTCTTCAAGACCTTCAGACTTGGTTGTCATTTGTCACTGGTCCCACCACAACCCTCTCCCTTTCAAATCACCCTCTGGATGCCTCCAGGGTAATTCTATAAAAATGCAAATATCAGATTTTTCTTAAAGTTCTCTAGTGATTCCCTGTTGTGAACAGGTTGAAATCTATGCTCCTTAGAATGGTACGCGAAGTCCTTGATAGCCTGGCCCTGCTACCTCTCCGGGCTCCTTTCCGAAGTTCCTGGCATGGTGGATGAAATGTACCAGTGAATGTGTCAGAGCCCAGAAAAATAGCATTAGGGGTCCTGTGGACACTGACTCACCAGCAGCACCATGACAGTTCACATTTCCATGTCCCAACCTGAGCTATTCTACCTAGAATGACTTTTTATTTCCTTCCTAAATTCCTGCTCGGGCATCACCTTCTCTAATCCATTTCCCCACACCCCGTTCTCCCATGACCACCTCCTGTTACCCACGAAGTTAATCAATTATCCCTTTTGCTACGTCTTTGCTTTAGGCATTTGAGAGCAGTGTCTAGAGGTTAATTTAGCAGATATAGACCCATACTGCCTGGCCTTGAATCCCAGATCTGCACCTTAGAAGTGTCCCAGTTTCTTCCTGCGTAAAGTGGGGATGATAATAGTCCTTATTTCACAGGGCTGTTATGGGATTCTGTGAACTGATATATATAAAGGCATTATTTTGAAAAGTGCCTGGCTCACAGAAGGTGCCATAGAAGTAAAAGATATTATTATTCCATAATTTCACATATCACACTATTTCACAGCCACATGCACTTGCATAACTGCCCTCCTTTTTAGCCTATTAGCCCCTTGGGGTACAGGTAGGGTAATCGGCTTGTTTCAATTTGCCTAGGATTTTCCCAGTTTTAGAACCGTTAAGTCCTGCAACCAGGGAAACCCCTCAGTCCCAGGCAAACCAGGAGAGCTGGTCACCCTATGAGGACCCTATCTTATTCACCTTTGAATCACCAGGGTCTATCACAGGATACATAGGTTACAGAGTAGATTATCCATAAGGGTTTACTGAACTACAGAACCAATATTAATTGCCTTTTCACTTTCTACCTCATAAAGATGCTGTTAAACTTCAAAAATCAGTCTTCTTCTTGCTGTGAAGTCACAGCTGACTTTTCAAAACTTGTCACTGAATAACTGAATATATTAATTTTTTTTAATGCACAGGAACTAGAAAGGATGATTCCACCCTGTTATATATCATCAGTGTAATAGAATTGGCCACCCTTTAGCAATCGAAGACATAACTGTTGTGTTAACAGCAGGGGAGAATGGGGGTGTCATACTTTCTTTTCTATCTAGTGACAGGCAGGTTGAAGTCTGAAGGTCCCTAGTTCACATCACAGCCTGAAGAGTAACCTTGTCCCAGTCAGAAATGTTCCCTTCACTAAATGTATCTGTCTACCCAGTTGTCAAGAACGGCTAGAGCTCCTGTTTCTAATATGCTTTGTCTTACAACCGCTCCTCACCCAAACTGGCTCAGATCATTTTTCACAGTACAAATACAGTAAGAAAGCCCCACAACCAAGATCCTGTGAGACAGGGACTCTGGACATGCCGGAACTCATAATGAGGGCAAGATCTTGTCTTCAGAATCAAGGTCTAGGAAGAAGCTGACAGGCAGCCAGACCAAGATCCCTCAGGCAGAATAATAGCAGAGTTGCTAAGAGCGTGAGCTTTGGAGTCAGAGTTCAAATGCTACCTCCTCCATTTACTGACTGTAGAATCTTGTACAAATTAATCACCTCTCTGGGCCTCAGTTTCCTTGTTTGTAAAATGAAGATGTAATAACAGTACTGACTTTCTCTTAGGATTGTTATTACATTTTGCCTCAGCCTGTGAAAACAAAGCCTGAGGCAGAGTCAATTGCAAATATTCTATTAGGTATTGGGAGATATAACCTCAGGGCATCAAGAGTGAAGGGAAAAGGGGAAATGAGTCAAGGAAGGAGGGAAAACAAATACAGATGGTTTGTAACTGAACTAGCCAAGGCATCATAAGAAAACACATATGGCTGTTTGTTTGCCTGCGACTGCTTCCAAGAAGCCTTCAAAACAGTCCACAGGGAAGGAATGGAGAGGAAATTATCTGCTGGCTACTTCCAGTCTCCTGTCTCTCATTGGTCCAGTTTTTTCCATTTCCAGATAGTAT